AGGGGTTGCCAGGCCGCCTAGGCCGCCTAGGCCGCCTAGGCCGCCTAGGCCGCCTAGGCCGCCTAGGCCGCCTAGGCCCTTGCATCTTGTAAATCGACTGCTAACGCATCCCCATCTGTTCGTGGCTTTTGAGGTTGTAGGCTCGGCTCGGACTAACTTTATGATGTGAAATCAGTGACCGCGCGACTCGCAAACCCTTGAACCCACAGCGTACAACCGAAGTACCCACAAACACCTTCACAGATCCCCTTGAACGATTTGGCCATAAACGACCTGAACCCTAAACCCTAAACCCTAAACCCTAAACCCTAAACCCTAAACCCTAAACCCTAAACCCTAAACCCTAAACCCCAAACCCTGAAATATGGGTGCCCGGGGCGCAGCCGGGCGAACTGAGCTCCCGCGCCGTCTCCATGTCTAAGAAGTTGGTGGGCTCGTCCAAGCAGAGGACCTTTTGGGTTTCGGGTTTAGGGTTTCGGGTTTAGGGTTTAGGGCTTAGATCGCACGCCCCTCTCTCCGAAACCCTCTCATATCCAAACCTCGAAATTTCACCAAAAACTTTCTCCAAAACTGTCCCCAAAACTTTCCCTCGAACCGGAAGACTGAACAACTTCAATAAACTGCCTTCAACCCCCAACCCCAAGCCCCAATCCCCTCTAACCCCTAAACCCTAACCCCATCCCCGCAAACCCTACTTCGAGGCGGTTCATGGTACTAAGTGACCCAACTCTGGCTCCACCCAATTGTAACCCTATTAGGGCACTTAAGGGGCTTATAATTAAGTGGGTTATAGCTACACTTATAATTGGGTGGCTAAGCACCCTGAACCTCCAAGTACACCAACCCCTACCCCCTAACCCCCTAACCCCTAAACCCAAAACCCAAAACCCCAAAACCCCAAACCCCAAACCCCCAAACCCCCAAAACCCTAAACCCTAAACCCGAAACCCTAAACCAACTGCTCGAGCCCCCGGCGTGCGGCTTGGTCCAGCAGGCGGCGCCCAACAGGAGCTTCGACCGCTGGCCGCCGGAAAGGTTGCCTTGGACCCTGAAACCTATTTAGGGTTTAGGGTTTAGGGTTTTAGGGTTTTAGGGTTTTAGGGTTTTAGGGTTTTAGGGTTTTAGGGTTTTAGGGTTTTAGGGTTTTAGGGTTTTAGGGTTTTAGGTTTTAGGGTTTTAGGGTTTTAGGGTTTTAGGGTTTTAGGGTTTTAGGGTTTTAGGGTTTTAGGGTTTTGGGGTTTTAGGGTTTTAGGGTTTTAGGGTTTTAGGGTTTTAAGGTTTTAGGGTTTTAGGGTTTTAGGGTTTTAGGGTTTTAGGGTTTTGGGGTTTTGGGGTTTTAGGGTTCAGGGTTTAGGGTCAAGGATCCAAAATAACATAGGGGTACCCTTTGGGGGGGGGGGGGGGGGGGGGGGGGAGCGACCTTTAATACAGGAAACCCATGATGCCACTTGGCCCCCACCTTAACCCTAAACCCTCAAAGAAGGCCTTAAGGATGTACCTTGAACGGCGAATGGGCTCCACCAAGCCGCAGGTGTTTTTCTTCCTGGGGTTTAGGGCTTAGGGTTAAGGGGTCTGTGTTTAGGGATCAGGGTTCAGTGCTTAGGGTTTAGGGTTCAGTGTTTAAAAGGGTTCTTCTCGTGTACCAGATATCTTATCGAGATAAAGAACCAACTTAGAAGGTGGGGTGTCTAGATAAGGCTCTTGGGGTACTTCTTGAGCCTCGAATGGAAAACCACATCCCCAGGCTCTGCAACTCGAAGCACTTTTAGGCTTCAACACCCTCTAGCTCAAACCCTAAAGCGGAAACCCTAAACCCTAACTCCAACCCCAAACCCTAAACTCTACACCCGAGACCCTAGACCCTGAACCCTAAACCCCAAACCCCCACAACGTTCCAAAGTTGAAGCCCTGAGCCATTGGCCTACAGGGCCTTGAAACTGAAGTGTCTCTGGGCTTTCGGTTTGTTGTTGAGTGTTGAGGGTTTAGGGTGTTTTCCGGGGGTTAGATATGCGGGGGTGCACAAAACTATGGGACGCCTGCTATAACTCACCCCCTAAATTCGCAAACCCCCCCATGTGACGGCGGGTGGGGCCAACCTGACATGGCTAATGCTACAAGCAAAATCAATCTAAACCGGTTTCCAAAAACAACAGAAGCCCTTCACTGCTAATTAGGGCTTAAGTCTACATGGCATGGAGTGTTTAGGGTTCCGGATTTGGGGCAGGGGCTTAACGCTGCACGGCAAGTATGGCTCATAATGAAAGCTAAAGGCAACTAGAGTCTCAGAAGAACTCTGAACCCTGAACCCCCAAAACCAAATTGAACCCTAAAAACCAACAAGCCCGGAAACCTAAAGACCCCTAAAGCAGAAAAGGCGTATAAGCCAGACAATGCAAACCCTCTAGGCTTTATAACCCCCCGCGACCCAGACCAAAACCCTCTCAGCCGACCCTTTTATAAGCCCTATGCTCAACCCTATAAGCCTTACCGACAATGGAACCGTGATACACCCTCTACCCTCTGCAAGCCCTCTAAAATCCAAGGATTCCAAGCGACCCTATAACCCTTACAGACCCTAAAAGCCCTGTAAACCCTACAAACCCAATTTGGAGAAACCCTAAATTTGCGAGTTCTTTTCGGTTGATGCAGGAATCGATGGGTATAAGCCCCAGCCCCGCTTTGCGGGGCCCGGGTTTGAGGTGGTTCAAATTGTGTTTAGGGTTTTGAGGCTGGGTTTGTCCGGTCCACTATTAAGCCGATTTTGGACCCAGTCTGTGAGCTTTAGACGTCTGCGTAGATACAGTTGTCGCCCTATTTAGGGGATGGAAACGTAAAAGGACTTAAACGAAGGAAAAGAAGTAGGGATCCGCGTATGGGGTCATACTGGTACGGTAGTGCGACTAGGGTCACACGGATTCGGTCTTATACAAGACAAGACAAATCAAGATGGATTTCACAATGGTTTAGGGTTTAGGGTTTAGGGTTTATAGGATCGGGTGTTGGATGTTTGAGGTTTAGGGCTTATGGTGTGGGGGGTTCGTTGGCTTGGGTCAAGACAAAGGCCTATGGCCCCGTGAAAATAACAAGTTCTAGCCAACCCAAGACAGCTGGGGTTTCAGGGTTTAGGGTTCAGGGTTCAGGGTCCGCGCAATCGGGAACCCTACACCCGCACCCCCATGAGTTGGGGTTCAGGGGCTGAGGTTTAAGGGGCGTTCTCTAGAGCCCCAAAGCCTAAAACAGTCAACCCTAATTATAGCCCAACCCCACCACCACGACCGCAAGAATGTGTTGTGTTTGCCCGGTGGCAGATGGAAAAGCGCCCTGCCGCAAGCAACTCCGATGTAGCTGCCTGGCTCCTATCTCGAGACCCTATCCCGAATCTCAGCAAACATGCGGAATCTCCGGCATGTCAAGTGCGAGTAGCAGGGGAGGCTTTTCGACAAACTGACATTGAGGGGTTTTAGAACCCTATAAGTCCCAAGCCTTGAAGCCTACAAACACCTATAAACCCTAAATAGCCCTAAGTCGCCCTAACTAACCCCATAAACCCCATAACACCCTACCCTAAATGGTCCTAAGGACCCCATAAACTCCATGTAACACTGTAAAACACTAAACAAGCCCCTGAACAGGAAGCTCCAGCAGGTGCTCGAAAATCCTGGCCATCAGCCGCACTTCGAGAGGGCCAAGGCCAACAAACTCAGCTGTTATCTCGCTGGGCTCTTGGCAGGAAATTTTTGGGGAAACAAGGGTTTAGGGTTTAGGGTTTAGGGTTTAGGGTTTAGGGTTAGGGGTCCCTTAAAAAAATGCTATAGGGAGATTTAAGGTACTAACTCCAAAATTCCAAGCCAGGAGCCAGCGAGTCATGTTCAAAGAAATATCAAGCTTGCTGTGTTGTAGGCTTTCCGGGTTGCCGGTGCGGCCGCGCAAGCAATGACCACCTGGCTCCTCTACCTTGTGGGGCCGGGCCGTCCCTCTGCCTTCAAAGGCATGATAGTAGCATGGGGGTTTAGGGTTTAGGGTTTAGGGTTTAGGGTTTAGGGTTTAGGGTGATTATTTGGGGGGCCCATTTGGTCTCCAAGGCGGCAGTCGGGGTCAAGCCTGCGTGGCTCAGAGCCTGACCGACGTACTCGCAGTTGCTGGCCAGGTCGATCGTGTCTCCACCCACCTGCTCCTGGTTGAGCCGACCACTGTCCGGCCACTCTCCATTTTTGCAGGTCGCCTTGTTCTTGAGGTTCCGCAGGGAGGCATATGCTTCTGGAAGCGGGCAGCTTGCCTTGTCATGGCCTTCCTCGTTGATCCGTTCCAACGTTGCCTGCGGAAGGATTCCTTCCTCTCTTAGGCAGCTTCCAGTGTTGCTCTCTGCTTCGGCTTCTCGATCTCATGGCATGGAATCATTGCACCCTGGACCCTAAACCCTAAACCCTAAACCCCAAACCCTAAACCCTAAACCCTAAACCCAAAACCCTAAACTAAACCCTAAGCCCTAAAACCTGAATCTTAACCCTGGATCCATGGAGTCATCACCTTGGGCCAGCTGTCTCCCTTGGTCGCGGATGCTGCTCGGGCAGGTGCAGGCCAACACCAGGATCTTCGAACCTGTCACCAAATTGGTGTTGGGTTTGGGGTTCTGGGGTTCCGGGGCTTGGGGGTTCTGGGGTTTTGGGGTTTTGAGGGTTTGGGGGGTTTTGGAGGTTTGGGGGTTTTGGGGTTTGGGGGTTTTAGGGTTTTCGGGGTGTCGGGGTTTTCGGGGTTTTATGCAACCATGTACCGAAAAAAGAGCTTGCTAAAAAGTGTTCAGGGTTGGGAGTCTTCTGGAAGTTGGTGCCGAATGCCATACTAAATAGGGCTAATTCAGAGTGGTGCTACAAATAGACCCGCTAGATAATACTAGATAATACCCGAATTCATAGCTTATTGCCATCCTCAACATTACAAGCCTCCTAAGCCCTAGAAACTCTAAACCCTAACTCCCAACTAGGAGAACACGGTGCCGAGCCTCAGAGGGTCAAGGCATAGACGCGCGTCTGCTTCGGGGTCACGTCTGGCTGGGAGGCCTCTCCAATCTCCACGATGTACTCCTCGGCGCGCCAGTGGTTTTAGTTCAGGGCTTTAGGTCGTGGTTGAGCAGCTAAGCCTTAAGAAAGAAAGAAGAGCACAACTGTAGGTCCTAGACTCCGGGTACACCTGTGCTGACTGCAGGAGGATGTATTCCCGCGGGCCCTGCTTGCCCGGGTTTGCAAGTACGCAGTGCTTGTCACCTCTTGCGGCTTCCTCGCCGGCCTCATCGTGCCAGCCCTTTTCCGTGTAGAAGATTTGCCCACACACGGCACGGCAGAGCAGGACATACTTGGGCCCAGCCTCGTCAGGGCATATGCTGGCAGATGTAAGCACTCCAAGGCGCAGGTACTTGGAGGTTCATGGGCACTTATATAGAAGTATAGGGGTTACATAAGTACCCTTAAGAAGTTTATAACCTTATAGTTGCCCTAACTCGTTACAAGTAGAGTTACAAGCAATTATGCAGTACCTACAGGGTTATAAACTTCTTAAGGGTACTTATATAACCCCTATACTTCTATAAGTACCCATGAAACTCCAAGTAGGGTACGGGCAGAACACAAGCAGCCCTCGCTTGCTTTTCCAGCCGACCTTGTCCGGGCAGTAGCTGATGCTTTTCGACAGATCTTCCGCAAGGTAGACTCCAGGGCCGTACCGCCGTCCGTGGGTGCTTCTCTCCTCAGGACTAGGGGGTTTCCGAAGTTAGGAACCCTACATACTTCTGTATAGATATACAGATATAGGGTTTAGGGTTCGGGGTTCAGGGTTTCAACAGGCTTTGAATATTAGGTGTTAGGGTTTTGGATGGTTTTGGGATGCCCGTAAACTCCCTCAGGGTTTTTAGGAAGGCTCTGGCACTTGCAAGCCGCTGTTGCTGTCTCTACTTCCCGACAACTTTGGGGGTTCTCCGTATTCAAAGAGGGACCCTAACGTTTATTGCTGGTTCGGGGATCGGTGCTGTTGACATTTTCAACCCGACTGTGTGACCATGTGGTTTGGGCTTCGTCCTAAACCCTAAACCCTAAACCCTAAACCCTAAACCCTAAACCCTAAACCCTAAACCCTCTCATATCTTGCTGTTTAGGGTTTTTTCGGATCCATCTCCGGGTTCCCAGCAACCTAGAGGACAAGAAAGGGGCACCCGGTCCGGCTTGCTGGGGTAAGGGAACCTACCCCCTAAAGGAAAGTCAGGGTACAACCCAAACCCTAAATCCCTAAACCCTAAACCCCTAAACCTTAAATTTTGAGTCCTAAACCCTAAATTTTGAGTCCTAAACCCTAAGCCTCCGGGGTCCTACATCAATCCAGGCACCGAGATCTCGAAGCCTCGCTCTGCTATCGACTCCGCAGCCTGTGGATTTGGGGTTTCGGGTTAGGGTTTAGGGTTTAGGGTTTAGGGTTTAGGGTTTAGGGTTTAGGGTGTAGGGTTTAGGGTCTTTGGGGTCTTTAGGGTCTTCAGGGTGCGTAGGGTCTTTAGGGTCTTTAGGGTCTTTAGGGTCTTTAGGGTCTTTAGGGTCTTTAGGGTCTATAGGGTCTTTAGGGGTTAGGGTTTAGGGTTTAGGGTCTAGGATGTAGGGTCTAGCGAGTGTGTGTGGTGGGTGGGAGGGGGGGCTTGGGGCTGCGGGCTTCGCTAGGCCCGCCATTTGCATGTGAATAGTTCTTAGACTTCGGCACTAAGTCGGATAGGAGTTCTAAACTTCGAGGCTCTCTGCCCTCAGCTAGATTGGGGCTTCGGGTGGTTTAAGGCATACAGTTTCTTGGGGCTCCTATGATTCTCTCGAATTTTGTTCTTCGACACCGGAGCCACAGCCTTATCACAGCCCAACACTTTGACCCCAAAGACTGTATACCCCCACAGCCTTACAGGTAGGGTGCGGTACCGGTATAAGCGAAGAGGCTAAACCTTCAACCCTACACTGTCATGTAGATCCCCAAAAATAATTCTGGAGTTGTATCCAACTAGGGTTTAGGGTTTAGGGTTTAGGGTTTAGAGTTTAGAGTTTAGAGTTTAGGGTTTAGGGTTTAGGACAGCCATTCCGAGATGTCTGAGTCCATGGAGAACAGGAAAAACAAGCAACAGCAACATGAAGGCCTGTAGGGTTTAGGATTTGGGGTTTAGGGTTTAGGGTGTGTGTCAGGACTCTGTAGCGTTTTTGCAAAAAATCTACAGAACGGCAACATGAACGCCCAATCAGGGTTGCTCTCCATTATCGAGGGCCCCTCCTTATAGGTAGCTTTTGCCATCGGACCGGTGTCCCAAAAACTTAGTTGCTGAGTTCAGTACACTTTCAGTTCTATAGGGGAGAAAAATGTTGGCCCTATCGACTGCTTGCTACTTACAGACTCCCTATAGACCCTAATCCATACACACAGAACCCTCAAGCCCAACATAGTATGAAGCTTGAATAAACCCTAAACCCTAAACCCTGAACCCTAAACCCTAAACCCTAAACCCTGAACCCTAAACCCAACAGCCCAAAATATTATGAAGCTTGAAGGGCCTCGCGTGAAGTCCCATGCCACAGCAGCAGCTCATTGACAGCCACCTCCGAACTCCCAGCAAACCCTAAACTTCAAAGAGTTTAGGGTTTAGGGTTTAGGGTTTAGGGTTTAGGGTTTAGGGTTTAGGGTTTAGGGTTTAGGGTTTAGGGTTTAGGGTTAGGCTAACTAGGGCTCAGGGTTTGGGACTTAGAGATGTTGCGTAGCTTTGCCCTGAACCCTGAAAACTGCTGGCCACCCCACCAAACAAAACCAGGCAATTCTTGTGCAGAAGCCTCTGCCCCAAGTTAAGTACTTATGTAAGGGCTACCAACATGTACATGTCCTAGGGTTTAGGGTTTAGGGTTTAGGTTCTAGGGTATAGGGTTTAGGGTTTTAGGGTTTACGGTTTAACGGGGCTGTGGCGGCGGGACAGGCGAGGGGGAGCTTGAACTAGCGGGGCCGGGTCTAAGGGTTTTCCCGGCGGTACACGTAAACATGGGGGTTTCCGAAAACAAGGGTATTGGTTTTGGAGATCCCTTGAAAGGGATTCTATTCTACTTTTGGGTATGGGGTTCACCTTTTTTAGGAAAGACCCACATAATCACCTCACTTCAATCGCTGGTTCTTTTGTTTGGGGTGGATGGGAAGCCCCGTTACACCCTAAACCCTAAAACCCTAAAACCCAAAACCCTAAAACCCTAAAACACTAAAACCCTAAAATCCTAAACCCTAAAACCCTAAAACCCTAAAACCCTAAAACCCTAAAACCCTAAAACCCTAAAACCCTAAAACCCTGAACCCTAAATCCTGAACCCGAAATCCTAAGCCCTAGGGTTTGCGGTACACGCATCTTGATACACTAGGGCTCTGCTGGGGCAAAAGGGGGGCCGGGCTTCGGGCTTTCGACCTTTCCAAGCAGCACTCATCGACCCTAAGCCCTAATCCCTACACCTCAAACCCTAAACCCTAAACCCTAAACCCTAAACCCTAAAACCCTAAACCCTTAACCCTAAACCCTAAACCCTAAACCCTCCAAATCCGCCAAATCCGCCAAGTTGCTGAGAGGTCCCGGGCTTCTAGGCGCTCCGCATCCAGTGCTGCCCACAAGGAGCCGTTTCCAAGGCTCCTGGCCAGGTCCTGCTTGCGGTTTAGGGTTTAGGGTTTAGGGTTTAGGGTTTAGGGTTTAGGGTTTAGGGTTTAGGGTTTAGGGTTTAGGGTTTAGGGTTTAGGGTTTAGGGTTTAGGGTTTAGGGTTTAGGGTTTAGGGTTTAGGGCTTAGGGTTTAGGGCTGAGGTTTAGGGTTTAGGGTTTAAGGTTTAGGTCTCGGGCTTAAGAAGTCTTCAGGGTCTCGGATTCTGGCATACCCTATGCCCTAAACCCTAAGAGATTTGGAAGAGTCGAGGTCTCTGTAAGGCGGTGTGTTCTCGCAGTCTGAACATGCTAGGCATTTGAGGGTTGTCACTCTAGTCACCCGAGGTCACCGGGACACCTACTCATGGGTACTTAGAAGTAGGGTTAAAAGTTGGGTAACTATGGCTAACCTTGTTTAGGACGATTCTAACCCGACTTATGAGTACCCACGAAACTTCAAGTAAGCCCTAGGCACTGAACCCTAAACCCTAAATCCTAAACTAACCCTAAACCCTAAACCCATTTAATGAACAGGGTGGGGTGCTTCATGCGGCGTCTTGTGGATGACCGGCTCCTGTAAAAGAACCCCAGCAAAGGCAAAACCCTGATCCCCAAACGGCCCCTTGGCCTAGGCTGCCCGTAGGCTTTCGGGCTGGTTTAGGGTGTATAGTTTAGGGTTTAGGGTTTAGGGTTTAGGGTTTAGGGCTTAGGGTTTAGGATTTAGGGTTTAGGGTTTAGGGTATAGGGGTTAGGGTTTAGGGTTAACCCTACTCGGAGGGCTGTGGTTGGCGAAGCGCTCCTGCGGGGGAGTACATCGCTGCTGCCCTGACAGCCGGAGCTTCTCATGGACGGCCTGCTTGAAGGCCTGGAGCTCTAAACCCTAAACCCTAGACCCGAAACCCTAAACCCTAAACCCTAAACCCTAAACCCTAAACCCCAAACCCGAAACCCCAAACCAGTAGAAGTTCCAGTCCCTGGTCCCTAACTTGGGCTATTTAGGGTTTAGGGTTGAGGGTTTAGGTTTCGTCCTGAGCCCATGAGAGCTGCTAGAAGAGTCAAGCCTCAGCAGTTGGGCGTGTGTCTTTTAGGGCAATCTTACTGCAAGATGCTTGCCCTCAAGCCTCAAACCTCGGCCAGGCGCGGTAGGAGGACTCGTTCTGTCGTTACTTTCTGGTCCTTCATAGGGAATCTGGCTAGCCCAGAAACCATATTACACTAAGGGCACCCTTTTTGGGGTTGCTTACTCTATGAGGGAGCCTTGAGCCAAAAAAAATGGGGAAAGGGGATCACTGGGCTACCAAGGAATTAGGGTCCCCGGTCCGCCTTGTGTTGCTTAACAAAGGAACCCTGAGCCCTAAACCCTAAACCCTAAACCCCAAACCTCAGGGATTCCACAGAGACCCTGAGTCTCCAATTTCCTACGAAGAGCTAGTGATGTTAGGCACCTGGCATGCCATGCTTGCCAAGGTTTGGGTTTGGGGTTTAGGGTTTAGGGTTGAGGGTTTAGGGTTTAGAGGCGAAATGATTAGCAAGCCAAGTATCCACGTACTGCAGCCACAAGCCCGAATCCTCCACACACGGCTGGCCACATGTCTAAGGCTGTACAAAAAGCCGAGCCTGGGTAGCAAAGTAAATTCTGTGGTCAACATTCAACGAGCACGTGCCTTTCGAATGCAAAGCTTGCTCTGTACTTCTTATCCTTCCCTTTGCTGCTACCTGCGCTGTGGAGGTAGAGAGAGAGAGAGAGAGAGAGAGCAGCATTCCACGCTTCAAACTCCTAGGCCCGATGACCCCTATACCCTAACCCCTAAGCCCTAAACCCGAACCCGAAGCTGTAAGCCCTCGAGCTTTCTATCAACCAAAAGAAGGTGCGCAAGCCATTTCTTCTTGCGGCAAGGGGCTTCTCTTCGTGGGCAAGGGTCGTTGCTTCATGAGCAAGGACCATTTCTTTGTGGCAGGGGTATAAGGGGCAAGATTTCGCGGCACGGGTCTATAATTTCGTACACGATTTCAGTGGGCAAAGATCTAAAATTTCTCGGGCAAGGGCCAAAAACCGTGGGCAAAGGCCTTCTTCGGGCCATTTTTTCGTGGACGGGCAAGGGCCATCTCTTCGCGGGCAAGGGTACGGGCCCAAATTTCGCGCGTTCAAAAAAGTTCGTGGGCAAGTGTCAAATTTTCGTGGGCATGGCTTCGTGGGCAAAGGCCATGTCTTCGTGGGGCTTTAGGATTTAGGGCCCACTGGGCCTTGGGCGTTTTGAAGATAGGTGGGATTTACGCTGGCTTGAGTTTGACGTAGAGTGTAATTGTTTCCTATACAGTTGTGGGACCCAACGGGCGGGTGGGTATGACTCTGTCGCTTGACAAGTTGCTTGACTAATGAGTGCCTTGACGTGAGCCTAAGCCCTAAACACCAATCCTGTACCCTACAACCCGATTTATGAACACCCTAAACCCAAAACCCAAAACCCTAACCCCTAAACCCGAAACCCTAACCCCTAAACCCTAGACCCTAAACCCTAAACCCTAAACCCTCAACCCTAAACCCTATTTATATAGACAGTACCCTGAACCCCAAAAACTCCTAGGGACCCTGCAGGAAACTCTCCTCCACACGCCGAGCCGACAGCACTTCGAGAGCTGCTCCGCTGGCCGTCTCGTCGGCAAGCCTCGTCGAGGTTTAGGGTTTAGGGTTTAGGGTTTAGGGTTTAGGGTTTAGGGTTTAGGGTTTAGGGTTTAGGGTTTAGGGTTTAGGGTTTAGGGTTTAGGGTTTAGGGTTTAGGGTTTAGGGTTTAGGGTTTAGGGTTTAGGGTTTGGGGTTCCGGGTTCAGGGTTTAGAGTTTAGAACAAACCCTTGGCGCTTAAACCCTTAAACCCTCGGGATTTCAACCCTGAACGCTTGGGTTGAAATCCGAATCGAACCCTAAACCCTGAGCCTTAAACCCTAAACCCTTGAAGTGTACCGTAGCCCCTACGTAGGGGTTCAAAATAGACCACAGTCCCTGCCTAACATGGCGTGATCTACGAGTGGGTTTGGGGATGTTCAAGGTAGCTCTACTGCCTTGTTTAGAGCTTAGTTTCATGGGGTTTCAGAGGGAGTCGAAGCTAACATCTCAAGCACAGGGAAAAGATGGAAACAAGCCTAAACCCTAAACCCTAGACCCCCTAAACCCTGAAAACCCTAAACCAAAAAACTAAAAACCCTAAACCCCAAATCCCACACCCCAAACCCTAAACCCTAAACCCTAAACCCTAAACCCTAAACCCTAAACCCTAAACCCTAAACCCTAAACTTCAAGCCCAGCGTCAGCTGGATGAGCTCGCAGATCCGTGGCTTCACAATCCAGTGCTCCCGGAAAGCCTCCATGGCAGGGTTCCGGTCCACCTGAAGCAGCACTTTTTGCCCCCTGGCTCTTTAGGGTTTAGGGTTTAGGGTTTAGGGTTTAGGGTTTAGGGTTTAGGGTTTAGGGTTTAGGGTTTAGGGTTTAGGGTTTGGGGTTTGGGGTTTGGAGTTTGGAGTTTGGGGTTTGGGGTTTGGGGTTTAGGTTTGACCCTGGTTCTTCGTAGGGAATGAGGGACATAATGTGGGACCTGCTTTAATGTTGGGGGCCCCCCCCCCCCCCCCCCCCCCCCCCCTGAACAGTCGGGGCGTGGATTGGGTCCTGATTACACGGCCCCGGGGGCTTATATGATTTTAATAGGGTGGAGTTTAGATATGTTTAAAAGGGGCAGCAATGCCCGGTTATCTTTTTTAAAGGCGCGCCACGTGGAATTTTCTTACGGCGCCCGGACGGTTCGACTTTAAAGCGGACCCCTCAAACAGTCAGGGGGTCCTGAATAATTCGGCCAAATTGACTTTAAAGCGACCTCCCCTAATAAAGCAGGTCCAACATTATGGCCCTATGTATCTATGTCTGTATATATATGTATTGATTTATTTATCTATTTATACCCTTTACGGGATTATATATAGGGTACCTCAGTCCCTCATTCCCCGCTAAGAACGAGCCAGTTTTTGCCAACTTGCTGGGTTTCTGAAAATTTTGGGGTTCCTAGAACAAGGACCATCCTATTTGGGCCCCGGGGTATATTAAGGGTACACCCCCCGCCCCCCACCCCCCCACCCCCTTATTTGGGGAAATGCCCAAGCTAAGTATTCTCGCCACACGGAAAAGTGACCTATCTTCCAGAAAAGTCAAAGCCTCAAGATCTCCAAAGACACACAAAAATGCCCCCGAAGCCCAACCTAAACTCCGGAGCCCAATCTACCACTTACTGAGCACCATTGCAAACAAAAGAGCTAAGCCACAAAGCCAAAAAACACATAGAACCAGGAAACCACTTCTGCTGCCCAAGGGCGTTCTTCCAGTAGAGCGGCAGCTCCAGCAGAAAGGGAGCCTCCGGCATTAGTCTCGGAGCCGACTCACCACCGTGGAGACGCTGGTAGAGGACCAGGTATTCCTGGTTGAGTTGGGGGGTTGGGGGTTTGGGATTCAAGGTGTTTAGGGTTTAGGGTTTAGGGTTTAGGGTTTAGGGTTTGGGTTTAGGGTTTAGGGTTTAGGTTTAGGGTGAGCGCCCCAGTTCCCTGCAGACAAGGCGCCGGGTACACTTGATCCGTGTTGTACCTGCTTTGAGAGTTGTCGTGTTCAGTGTCTGAGGGGGGGGGAGGGGGGGGGGGGGGGGGGGGGGGGGGGGGGGGGGGGGGGGGGGGGGGAAGGGGGCGGGGGTTGGGGACGGGCAGGGGAGGGGGGAGTTGGAGCGGGGGGAGGGAGGGGAGGGGGCGGGGAGGTAGATTTTCGGGTCTTAGAAGGTCTAAATTCATTAGGCGTAATGGAACAAAACTCCTGAGCCCGAAGCCCTAAAGCCCGAAGGCCGCAAGCCGAAAAGGTGAGCAATTCAGAGCCAAGTGCAGCTTGGTTGGGAAGGAATGTCGCGCTCATCTTGCCCAAGGGGCAAGAGAGAAGCTGTTACAAGTTGTGCGTTGCAGGGTTTATGGTGTCTAGGCTTGAGGGTTTGCGGGGTGTATCGCTTTTGCGTCCAGGCCACACGCACATCTCACGGTAGGTATTCACAGCACGCGCCCGATCACCCAGCGTGCTGTCAGACTGTCCTCGGCCGAACCTCAGTTGATGATGGGGCCACAGCCGCTAAAAGCAAAGCAACAACGGGCTAGGTAAGAAGACCATGTAGAAGGAGCCTGACTCAACAAACAACCAGAGGTGGACCCACGTGAAGACCACCAACACATGAGCAGTTCGGCAGAATTCCAAATTAGAGAGGGTTGAGGGTTTAGGGTGTAGGGTTTAGGGTTTTGGGCTTAGGGGAAAAGCACTGTTGCGCAGGAATCTGGCACCTCGTCTCAAATAGTCCTTCAAGTGGATCCCGTGGGTTATGGTCCTTTTTGGCGGTTCCGAATACCTGATATTTTTGGGCACCCAGGAGAACACCATGATTGCCGTCCTTATGAGGATTCAGGGTCTTCAGGGTTTAGGGCTTGGGGTTTAGGTCCCGGATCCTGTGTGTACCCAAAGACTAATTCTCTCGGTGAACCTTGGCTAAACCTTGTTTAAACCAGAATCAACTAAGCAGACCCTGATAAACCATACTAAGCCAAACCTCCGTCTGTAAAGACTAGACGGTTTGAGCTGCAACACATTTTAGAGGGTACATTTTGACCTTTAAGCCTTAACCCTGAACAAACCCTGAACCCTTATACCCCGAGCCCGACCTCCTAAACCCGAAGCCAGCAGCTTCAAGAGGATACATACCTTCCGGCCCTTAAGCTTTACAACCCTCAGCCAGTTCCTCTGAGACTATTCAAAAGAAGATCGTCGTTGAACACATCAGGAAGTTACCAACAACCGAAGAGTCTACAATTTCGGCCCTGAACCGCGTGGGTCCCAAACTTAAAACAATCTGAGCCTGAGGGCCCCCCAAGCCCCTTAAGCCCCTAAACCCCTAAACCCCTAAACCCCTAACCCTAAACCCTAAACCCTAAACCCTAAACCCTAAACTCCCTCAAGTGGCTTGAGGATGGCTGCGGGCTCCCGCTCCAGGGTGTAGTGGAACTTACCAAGGCCTTGCTTCGAGGTTCAGGGTTTTAAGGGGGTTTAGGGTTTAGGGTTTAGGGTTTAGGGTTTAGGGTTTAGGGTTTAGGGTTTAGGGTTTAGGGTTTAGGGTTTAGGGTTTAGGGTTTAGGGTTTAGGAAGGTTTGGGGTTTAGGGCTTAGGGTTTAGGGTTTTAGGGTTTCAGGGTTTCAGGGTTTCAGGGTTTTAGGGTTTTAGGGTTTTAGGGTTTTAGGGTTTGAGGGTTTGAGGGTTTGAGGGTTTGAGGGTTTGAGGGTTTGAGGGTTTGAGGGTTTGAGGGTTTGAGGGTTTGAGGGTCTAGGGTTTAGGGCTTCGGAAGCTTGAGGGTTTAGGGCTTAGGGGGTCTTACGTTTTCGAACGTTAACTCTATACCTTCCAAAGCCAAAGCTCTTCACAACCCGAAAACGAGCCTTCGACCGGCAAAAGAACTTGAAACACCCAGCAGCTTTCGTGTGATAAAGATTAAGTGAGGGCACTTGGTACAATATATATATATATATATATATACATACTGTATTTATGTATCTTTATTTGTATATTGTATATGTATTTATTTAGAAAAGAAAGGTACCTAATTCTCTAATTCACTATCAAGAATAAGCAAGATGACCCTCCGCGTACTGTAGCTGCTTATATTCCCCAACGCCCAAAAGATGCGAAACCACCTACTATGCCAGCGTAGACCCTAAACAGTGAGAGACCATACGAGGCAGTCCCAAAGCTACGACAGTTTCGCGTTTCGCGCGCGAGCCGAGACGTCCAAACAAGACGACGGCTTCGCAGTATCGCTTGGGATGCTCCCCTTATACTAACAGTCCTTCATAGGGATTGTAATGGGGGGGGGGTATTGTAGTGCCTATAGGCGACTGTTAGTAGAAGGGGGAACATCCCAAAGCATCACATGTCGCGAACCCAGATGTCCAAAAGCGAAGACAGTTTTGCATCTCATGAGCCCAGAAGTACTGACAGCTTCGAGGATGGCTTCAAAAGGCACGCTCGCGCCTAGGCGAGAGGGCGCGCTGTTCGTCCCAAAATTGCGAGCAGGGCCTCCCGAATGATCCATGCTTGCATGTTGGAATCCCGCAGTGCTGACACACTGCTTGGGCAAACCAAACCCTACACCCTAAACCCGGAAACCCTGAACCCTAAACTCTGAACCGATAACCCTTGAAAAAAGTCAGCCACAGGGGCACACGCGGCAAAGCAGAAGGGCCCTGATATCCTCGTAGCGCCCACCTGTTTCGGTCTTGGAGTACCTGTGCACAGGATACAGGGTTTAGGGCTTAGGGAAATGCAGGACTCAGAAGCTTAGAGGTTTTGGGTAAGGAGCCTGGGAGCGATGGTTCTAGCCGTATTCAGGTCGCTTCTATATTATTTTCCTACTTAAATGCGTACCCACGAACCTCCAAGTAGAACCTGAACCCAGGGTTTCGTTCCATTGCATCACATGGTGCTCATCTGCTTTCGTGACGCTCTCGGAGAAATAGAGGCCGCGGCCGTACCTTTGCCCGGCCGAGAATCTGGGGGGGTGTAGGGTTAACTTCGAGGTTCATGGGCATTTCTGAGTACCTTAAATACGGATATGAGCATAGTTACCCTACTCATAACCCTACTTCTGAGTACCCATGAGCCTACCAAGTAGGCTTTAGGATATAGGGTGAGATGGACTGGTTTAGGATTGAGGGTTTAGGATTTAGGGCTTAGGTTGAGATTGAGTTGGTTGAGTTACGCTCCCAATCGTGTTGGGAGTCTCCAGTGCGTCTAACAAAGCTTGTAATCATGTTCTTATTCTGCTTTCGGAGAGAACCAACTTCCAACTGCTCCCACATTTCATAGAATCCAATGCGTCTCAGTATGCTGTTCCTATTCTGTTTTCGGGCACCCACAATCCCTAAACCCTAATCCCCAAACCATAAACCCCTAAACCGGTCCCCATGTTCATCTCTGAGCTGCATGGTGCCCCCTCCGGACCCGGCCAAGGCGAGGTTGAAATCGGTGAGCGCAATCCTGCAGGCGAAAAAACGACCCAGTTTTTCAGCTGTAGTTTCCTCAAACTACCCCAAACTCCCCCCCCCCCCCCCCCCCAAAACCATCCCCAAAACCTACTGTTTCGCCCTCTAGGGGGTGCCGAATCTTCTTGCTGAATTCTCGCACAAGGCAATTCCTAAGGTACCCCCCACCCACCCGAAAGAAAGACACTTCAGGTCCCTAGGTAGATAAAGTTCCAAATGCGGACGCAGGCCTTTGTGGGTTGGACCTTTGGAAAACACTTTAGGGTTTAGGGTTTAGGGTTTAGGGTTCAGGGTTCAGGGTTTAGGGGGTTTGGGTTTAGGCCAAGAAGCGTCAGGCCATCTCGAACAGAGGTGCCGTGCCACAGGTACACTTCGTTCACATCATCGTCCAAGTCACCTAATCCCCCCCCCCCCCCCCCCCCCCCCCCCCCCCCCCCACTCACCCAAACAGGCAGTTCCCCTTCTTTGGGATACCTACGCATACCTAACTGGACCTAATTTAATGGACCTAATTTAATGCTACCATCCTTGAATGAGTATGATGATGACAACCAATAGCAAGGCAACCTACGGGGGGAGACACATGCTCGCCATCAGGATAGCTCATAGCCTTTGGGGACCTTTAATGTGAGCCAATGCTGCTGTGCCCCCCCCCCCCCCCCGATCCCCCCACCGACTGATAAGCAAGCCATGTCGCCAAGAGCAGCCAGCACAGACACAGTCACAAGGAGCGCATACCCTTAAACAAACATTTCCATTCTCCGAAACGACCGTAGTCGCCAAGTGGCTGAGTATGTGCTGGAGGCGCAAGCTTCGCAGGGCGTCCCAGGTGAATATGGCCTCGAAGAGGACTCTTGCTGCCAAGTTCGGGGGGGTGCCACGACCACGTATTGCAGGTCACCAGGAGCCCTAAAGCCTTGACCAAAAAACCCTAAAACCTAAAACCGAAAACCCTAAACCCTAAACCGAAAACCCTAAAACCGAAAACCTAAACCCTAAACCCTGCACCCTAAAGCCTTGAAGGCTTCAAAGAGCCGCAGCCTGCTGGCCCTGCCTCCAAACCACACCCCCTCAACGGAGAAACGCCTAACAGCTAACCCTCAGCCCTCAACCCTCAACCCTAAGCCCTCAACCCTCAACCCTAAACCCTCAACCCACAACCCTCAACCTTAAGCCCTGAGCCCTAAACCCCAGCCCAGGCTTCCCTGCGAGCCAGGAGGAAACAACAAGATTCATATTCCCTTGGGGTCTTAGAATAAAACAGATAATAAACATGATTTTTGTTCCTATAAGGAACCAGGGGTAAACGAACCTTCCTTGCAGCACTGAAGGTTCCTTTTCCCTTGGGGTCTTATAATTATACAGATCGTAAAAATAGTGTTCCTACGGAAACAGTAGTAAACGAACCTTCCCTGCAGCTACGGCACTGGGGTTGGTGGATCGCACTGTTGCCGCGATTCTTTGATTCTGCCGCGCTGGCGCAGGTACTTCTCGAACCTGTCCGAGTTCTCCTTAGAAGGCTGCCAGGATTTATGGGTTTAGGTTGGGATGTTCCCACTTATACTAACTGTGCATTCTTGGCCAGAAACGACTTAGAAAACTGCAGTGTTAATGGGTTGACGGTTTAGGGTTTATAGGGTTCAGGGTTCAGGAATTACGGTTTCGAACCACCTTCACAATGAATCTAGAGAAAAGCCTCGGAGCCCCTACCCGACCCTAAGCCTCCGAAGCACGAAGCACCCTGAACTCTAAAGCCCAACGCCCTAAACCCTGAAGCCATAAGCTCCAAGCCCCCTTAAGCCATAAGCTCGAAGCCCATTCAGCCCGAAACCCTTTAACTCGCTAAGCCCTACACCCTAAACCCTTGAGCCCTAAGCCCTCAACCCACAACCGGTTTAGCGCTAAACCTTGGGATGTTTCCCCTTATACTAACAGTCCTGAATGGGATTATTCTAC